GATTTAGTGATTTAGTTTTTCTTTGTTGGCTGTGCAAGTAAAATAAAAATGTAATTTCCAACAGGTTTTACCCAAACACAGCATGTAGTCCAGTTTCTTCCACGCCAGTCTCTTTACCCGTACTTTTCCTCAATCAAATCTGTACAAAATGGCAAAGCAATATTCTCACACTGAAAACTGAATGTTATTTACTTAAAAGCCTTTAATTAAAAAAAAAAACTAACATCTATTGGGCCCTTAGTACCCATCGCTTTTGAAGTACTTTAGATATATTAATTCGTTTGGCTCTGACAATAACCTAACGAAGCATTTCCCATGTTTTACAGATAAAGAAAGAGAAGTATGGAAAGGTTAAGTAACTCGCATAAGCTCATATGGAAAGTGGGAGAAGCAGGGAACTGAACTCTGGCCATCTGGCTCTAGAGTCTGAATGCTCACCTAGCACGTCCCCAGGAGACGGGTTCTGGCTTCTACAGAAAAGCCCATGATTATTGCCATCATTTGCTGAACACTCACTACCTGGTACAAACTTTAAAATATGCCTTCTTATATTCTTATATTTAATATTCTCAACGACCTATAAGGAACCATGACTACAGTACCACAAACTGCCCAGCCTGGAAGACATCTGGCCAGGGAGGGAAAGAACCAACAATGAGGCCTGCCAGGTGACCAGGTCTGCCTGGCTGCATGCACAATCCATATACTTCCAATGGATCCACGCCCCCCACCTTCCCTGCAGCCCCACCCACTGCTCAACGCAAGACTTGCAAGACTTGCACACGTGCACACACACAACCACCAGAAAAGTACAGACCCAACAGACAGACCACCTGCAGTCAGGGAGGAGAGACTGCGCGGAGAGTGGGAAACTGTCTCGTTGGGCAACTGTTGAGCAAACCTATAAAACCAGGACAGGTTTAGAAGTGGCCAGAGGATCCGGCACCAATTCCACACCAATTACTGGAAGGAAGACCTAGGAGAGAACTACTCACAGGTAATGGTTGAGAAAATTCAATATCGAGTGCCTGTCATGAACTAGAAGCTGGCTTAAGTGTTGCCTGGTGAATTATGGGGTGATGGTGCTGGCAGCTGTAGTGGGGGTCGGGGAATACATTTCAGATAGCAAGAGAAAAAAATCTATTCTCTAGCCACAGGCGCAAGCGAGGTATTTATAAACATCTGCTGATTGAACAACTGTCCGAGGAAACAGTATGTAACGTCTTTACAGCCTGTATGCTGGAAAAATACTGGCCAAGTTCCCACTCCTTCAGACAGGTGAACTGGAGCTCATAAAGGCTGCAGATGACTAACAATATCTGAGGGTCCAGAGGAAGTTTGGGGCACATAATTGCAAATCAACTTCACCCAGACCCAGAACAGCCTTCTCTGAGAGCCGGGGAAACGGCCACCAAGAAACGGCCTGTTCCACCTGTTTTTCTACCCTGGCCTGAGGGCCAGCTCCGCCAGCAAGTGAAGTGCACTCGGCCCCGATTCTCTGCTCTCCGTGGCCCCGGGCAAGTCACTCTACCTTTCCCAGCCTCAAGCTCAAAGGCAAAATGGAGAAAACATTGCTAGCTGGCCGACATGGCTGCGAAAAGAGCAATGAAACAGGATGTCCACCAAGGCGCTTGCAGAACCTACAACGCCGCACAAAGGCAGGCGAGCGTTAACAGAGGCGGCTCGGATCGGGGGACTGGGCGCAGGACGTGGAGATGAAAGGTCTGGGGCTGGGCCTCAGCTTCGGCAGCAACGCCAGGGCAGAGTCGTAGCGAGTCACTTCCCGCTCAACTTCAGTCGTCCTAACTCCAAGGCCGCGCTGAGATCCCGGAGAAGCGGGGCCCAAGGGCCAGTCTCCCCAGGGGAGGGGGCTGCGCGGGAGACACCCTCCGGGCCCCGGGGGGCAGACCTTGCCCTCCGCGGCGGCAGCCTCGCCCCTACAGGACCCCCAC